GATTTCTTTTCCACAATTACCTCGAGCACCTCGTGCTGATAACGTGTTGCAAAATGACCTATTTAATCTAGCTCTTTAGTTTGGTTGTTGTGAAATAGTAATACATGAAATGTAAATAATAAGAATAGAAATACAGAGAAAGTAATAACAATTTTTTATTTTTAATTAGTTATTAATTGGTTAATGGTTAATCAATTATAAATAAATAATTACTGATTAATAGTTATTTAGTGCTTAGCTAATAATTAATTAATAATTTTTGAGGACTTAGTGGATAGTTAATAATAAATGATTATCAATTTGTAGTAATAATTAACAAATAGATAATGAATAAATTAGTTAATATTTTTTTGGGCAAATGGCAAAAAGGCCCATCACATGGGACTTAAATGCATTTTGGTCCACAAAAAAAACAGTCTCTCAATTAAGTCCATCCCCATGTCTTTAGTCTAAAATACCCTCAATAATATAATTCTTATCAATTCCACCCATTATGCTCTAACTTCCTTAATAGTACACATTGACCCCGGATTTAAACAAATATATCACATTAACCCCCAAAACTTTTTTTTTTCAGAAAATAATCTTTTTTCTGAAATGTTTTTTTTCCGGCCAGATTCCGGCGTTGACTTTTTTTTTTTTCTTTTTTTGAATTGTTTTTCTTAGAAAAAAAATATTTTAATTAATATTACTGTCTTGGCTACTAAATTACTGTCTCAGACAGTAATATTACTGTTTGGGACAGTAATATTATGAATATTATTTTTCCGAACAGTAATATTATTAATATTATTGTCTAAGACAGTTAAATTACTGTTGGAGACAGTAATTTAACATCCAAGACAGTAATATTAATTAAAATAATTTTTTTTAAGGAAAAAAAAAAAAAAAAGGTCAATTAACAGTTAAATTACTGTCTCCGACAGTTAAATAACTGCCGGAGGCAGTAATTTAGCAACGAATACAGTAATATTAATTGAAAATATTTTTTTTAAGAATAAAAAAGTCAATTAACAGTTAAATTACTGTCTCTGACAGTTAAATAACTGTTGGAGACAGTAATTTAGCAACGAATACAGTAATATTAATTAAAATATTTTTGAAGAAAAAAAAAACAAAAGAGTCAATTAACAGTTAAATTACTGTCTCCGACAGTTAAATAACTGCCGGAGACAGTAATTTAGCAGCCAAGACAGTAATATTAATTAAAATATTATTTTTAAGAAAAAACAAAATTATAAAAAAAAAAGTCAACGCCGGAGATCCGGCGGTCAACGGCAGTTGACCGGCCGGAAAAAAATTTCAGGAAAAAAAAAAATTTCAAAAAAAAAAAAAGTCAACGCCGGAGACCGGCGGTCTTCGGTGGTGGCAGGTCAAAATTGGGGTCAAAATTGAAATTAGGGTTAAAATTGGTTAATTGATGAAATTGGGGTGTAAATTATGAAATTGGAGTTAAATTGGGTTTCAATGAATTGGGGGTAATTTTGGTATATATAAAAGGATTTTCCTTATTTGCAAATAAGTTTGAATGGGCTGGATTTATTTGAAAGACAAAAAAGTTGGATGTCCCTCTTTTAATTAAGTGCCCTTGTCATGGGCCTATTTGCCATTACCCCTATTTTTTTATCTGTTAATGTAAAAAATGTATTTGTTTTATTTATATGTATTATAAAAAGGGTTAATACGTAGAGGTCCTCATAGCAAATCTATTTAAAATTAAATGACTACGGCAAAGTATTTTTTTTAAATACACCCCTATATCAAAATATAATATGATCCATATCCTTAATTTTTTTTATCCCTAATTTGTTCTTTTACCCTAAATTTAACATTTATATTCACGTTTCTCTCCAGATCTCTCTCCCTCCACATCTCTCTCTCTCCACCATCCACTCCTGGCCCAGGAAGGTGGTGCTATGGTGGTGAGGCAGGTGGAAAAGTTTATATCACAAAAACAAACTAGAAATCTTACGTTATGCAATTTTGGGTATTTATGTAAAAGAAATTTATTTATGGAGGCAAGAAGGTTGTGGCTATGGTGGTGTGAGGGAGATCTATGGTGGAAGGCGACGACGGCAGCTAAGGTTGGTGAACGGCTAGGTTTTAGTGGATATGGTTTGGCGGCGGCTAGAGTGTTGTTGGTTGCTAGTGTTTGGCGACGGCTGAAATTTGTTGGCAGCTATGGTTTGACGACGGCTGGAAGATGTTGGATGTTAGGGTTTGGGGGCGACTGAGAGTTGTTCGATGATATGGTTCAGAATAGTATACCATAGTATACTATAGTAAACCATAGTACACCATAGTATTGTTAGAGTAGGTGACCTACAAGCCAATTTGTGGCTGTGGTCTTTCCATTTATTCTTATAATAGATAATCATTTTTTCGTATTAATGATAAAACACCTTGGCATTCTATATCGTTGTCCCTTGTTCAAACATAGATATAGTCCTTACAGTTATTACAATAACTTGTAACTGATCTTTTAGGATCGTGAGATATTTACTTAAGTATTATAACTGTTAAACCGTGTTCCTAGTCGAAGGGTTATGCCACCAATGAGGATATCGGCATTTCCCATTAAGTGACTAGCACTTAGTGTATGTGTACTGTGTCTCATCAGTAAACGGTAGTGTGATATAGGCATGCATAAGTGGGTGCTCGTAAGTTGACGAGTTCACTGAACTCCCTCATCCTAGAAATCTCTAAGTGGTTCTCAATAATCGAGTAGAGATCTCTATGGTATAGTTGTACACCATTAGTCCTTAAGACCTACACATCACCGTGACTTCACTAGAGGACCAGCTGTATCGTGACTTGTCCCTGAGTTCCACCGACGACCGCCCCAAGGGCCAGTGTTCCTGCAGTCCGAAATCTAGTGTGAGGTATGTGCATTGTAGTATGGGATTCGATCGCTAGAACAGTCTTGGATGTCCTGTATGTTCTCATAGTTTGTAATATTTAAGTCTCTGTCCAGAGCAGCTGACTAAGTGATGATTAGGGAATTCGATTCTCTAAGTCATGAACGTACCGATTACAACACTTAGAACGATCGGACGGTTATTGAACTACTAAGAAGGTTTCGATCAACCAATGCATCTAGTTCAATCGGGACATATGAATCGAATGAGATCGTACTGTACGTTAACTATATCAAACGGTTCTTGCAGGCACTTCATTTGTATTTGTTTGAGTAGGTGACCAACAAGCCAACTTGTGGCTGTAGTCTTTCCATTTATTCTTGTAATAAATAATATTTTTTCGTATTAATGATAAAACACCTTGACATTCTATATCTTTGTCCCTTGTTTCAAACATAGATATAGTCCTTACAGTTATTACAAGTAATGGTATTGATCTTTTAGGATCGTGAGATATTTACTTTAGTATTATAACTGTTAAACGTGTTCCTAGTCGAAGGGTTACGCCACCAATGAGGATATCGGTCTTTCCCATTAAGAGACTAGCACTTAGTGTATGTGTACTGCATCTCATCAGTAAACGGTATTGTGATATCGGCATGCATAAGTGGGTGCTCATAAGTTGACGAGTTCACTGAACTCCCTAACCCTAGAAATCTCTAAGTGGTTCTCAATAATCGAGTAGAGATATCTATGGTATAGTTGTACACCATTAGTCCTTATGACCTAGACATCACCGTGACTTCACTAGAGAACCAGCTGTATCGTGACCTGTCCCTGAGTTCCACCGAGGACCGCCCCAAGGGCCAGTGTTCGTGCAGTCCAAAATCTAGTGGGAGATCGGTGCATTGTAGTCGGGGATTCGGTCGCTAGAATAGTCTTGGATGTCCTATGTGTTCTCATAGTTTGTAATCTCTAAGTCTCTGGCCAGAGCTGACTAAGTGGTGATTAGAGAATTCGATTATCTAAGTCATGCACGTACCGATTACAACACTTAGAACGATTGCACAATTATTGAACTACTAAGGAGGTCTCGATGAACCAATGCCTCTAGTTCAATCGGGACTTATGAATCGAAGGGATCGTACTGTACGTTAACTATATCAAAAGGTTCTTGCAGGCACTTCATTATCTAGGAATCATGACGCGTAGTTGCTAGACGCCAATCTTGATTCGTTGGGTGATTAAGTTGAAACGAGCTTCATCTTAATCGTAACTCTAAGGGACGAGTTTAGACCTCAAAGTGTTGTGGACCCACGGCTAGCTTACACCTGAACCATCGAGGGTCACACTGTTCGTGCACTCGAGATCTTTGAATAAACGGTCAAAAATAAAAATGTTTAATCTTTGCATGATTGGAAGTCAATATGATTGAGTTCAACATTCGTAATTTGGAATTATGAATGAGAATAAAAAAAGGAAAAGAATAGGCGAACATCTTAGTGAACTTTCCAAATTGGGAAGTTTCCAATTTTAGAAAGTCCACTGAATTAGGGTTTCCACTTTTAGAAATTGGAAATCGAGAATTGACACTCGTAATGACGAGGACGTTATAATGATTCCGAAAATGTAATTGTTACAATTTCCAATCATTATGGGAATTCGGATACGGCCCGACACGGTGTCCGAGCCGTGTCCTGGCGAGTCCGGTGTCCGATACGTGGATTCTCCTAGTGTTTGCCGAGTCCGTGTATCCTACCCCTTTTTACTTGTAATAGTTAGCCAAGTGTAAGGTTTGTTTGCTTCCAAGTGTCCCTAGGTAATTTAAATGTGTAAACTGTATTCTCTTGTATTTATATATGGCTATGAGTGCATAAATCCTTCTCATCTAGTATTAGAGAGTTCAGATTGCAATGTTGGTATTTTGAGTGAGTATTTTGTGTGTGCACCTTATTCTTCTTTGTGTTCTTTGTTGAAAAATCAATATAAAGGCATTGCCCGTAAACGTACTTGTGTGTTGTTTCCGCTGCATACTCTTGTGCGTCTTTATATTTGCTTAAAAAACTTGTGTTTGTGCCTTAATGCGAAGAGGATCAAAAGGAAGGCCGACTGATTTAGTGGACGACTGATTATTGAATAAAGAAACATGTGTGACACTAAGCATAGTTAATTAAGGGGCACCGCCGCAATTACAAATAATTAATTACGAAAAATTGAATTGTTCTTATAATGATAAAAAATCGTTTCATCTGTTCGTTCTTCCAGTTTCTCTCTCAGGCATAGATTCTCAGGTATCCCCATCCACCCACCCCTCTTTGTATGTAATGTGTATGTATAGATGTGTGTGCGCCTGATACAATTCTTTGAGAGATGCTAGGGTTTCGTTTTCCCCAATTAATCGGAGAAAGAGTAAAGCTATAACGTCAACCAATTGTGATCGGAACATAGAAACTGAAGACCGATTACTATTTGATTGTCAAATTAGGGATTTAGGGTTGTTAATTGTGTCGTTTTAATCGGAATATCTGCCTCAAATTTTTTTTTTTTTTTTTTTGGTGCAGTTATACTCTGAAGCAGCGGAAGTGATGTTTAAGAACACATTTCAATCTGGGTTTCTTTCAATTCTGTACAGCCTTGGGTAATATGATTTCCCCCCTTTTTTTCTGGAGATTTATTGCACATTTTCCTCTTTAATTGATTTGTGATTGGAGCTTAAATTTTGGTTTTTCTTTTTAGCCTTTTAATTTTTGATTATTTTTCTCGGATTATTTTCTTTCTTCAGGAGTAAGCCTTTGCAGATTTGGGATAAAGAAGGTGGGTACTTCTTCTTCGTGACGAATATTTCTTTTCAAATTGTCCGATTAGTAGATGATACAAGCATGTACTCTTACAATCATTCTGTCTTTCTTTTGCTGGGCTTTTTGCACATGCTAAAATTTTCGTACTTTTTGGCTTTGACTTCTCGTGAACTTCCGATTGATTATGACAGCCAACGTCGGGATTCAAATCTCGCCCTTTACTTACTTTCGTATTTGTAACAAGATTAGAGTTTTTTAAAGAAAAAAAAAAAAGAAGAGATTGATTGAGTTGATACAAGCTCAAGATTGATTAGGTTATTTATATTAATCGGGAGCAAAAATCGTCCGTTTTCCTTAGAATTGGTTCTAGAAAACAAGAAACGAGTATATATAGTTTTTTTTTTTTTTTTTTTTTTTTTTTTTCTGTTTATGCAGTCAAGCAGGTACATATTTGTCAATATATGCACTCTCTTGCTTGTCGTTTTCTTGCAATCTTATGGTTTTCTCGGGAAATAATCTTGCAGTTGTCAACGGCCAAGTCAAGCGGTTGCAAGATGACGACATACAATCTAATGTGCTCGAAGTAGTTGGGTCCAACGTCCAGTCGACATATATTACCTGCCCAGCTGATCCAACTGCAACGCTTGGCATCAAGCTACCGTTCTTAGTTATGATTGTGAAAAACATGAAGAAGTTCTTCACATTTGAAATTCAGGTGTTGGATGATAAAAATGTCCGCCGAAGATTCCGAGCTTCTAATTTTCAAGTCTGTAAGTTTGCCAATAAGTGATTTTACTAGTTCTAACTTGATATATGATTTATTTTTATTACAACCCATGCATCCATATTTATAACCTCCGTTGCCTTCTTATTAAATTGTATGTTTTTCTCGTTCAATCGGAGCGAAATATACTTTCTTTATTAGTGAACAAATGATAACTGCAGTATTCGTATTATTAGACAAGAAACAGAACCACATATGTGACTTTAGAGGAAGATATAGAAATAGATATAATTCGTATTATTATATTTATCATTAATTTGCAGTGTATTAAAACTCACCTCTCTGTTTTAGGCTGTGACGAGAGTTAAACCTTTTATTTGCACCATGCCGTTGAAATTGGACGAGGGATGGAATCAAATCCAGCTCAACCTTGCCGATCTCACTCGACGTGCATATGGAACCAACTATGTTGAGACTCTGAGAGTTCAGGTTCATGCAAATTGCCGCCTCAGAAGGATATATTTCTCTGATCGCCTTTACTCTGACGAGGAACTCCCTCCAGAATTTAAACTGTATCTTCCCATGCAGGTTAGCTAAATTTACCGTGTGCTCAAAGAATAAAATGCAAATTAGGGTTTCTCCTTACACAATTTTGCCTTTTTTTTTCACTCGTGTATACATTGGTTGCAGAAATCCTGAAAGAGCTATTGCGAACGTCGCTGCATTAATAGCGTTGGAGATGGTTGGTGGTAAAACAGTTTCGTGGGGAAGTTGAATACGCAGTTTGATTAGTTGAGGGAATTTGTCAGAGCAAACAATTTTTAAGTAGTTGTGATGGTTGCTATTTTATTTTGTGATTGTGAACTCCGATTGCAGATTACCTCCATGGTAAATTTTACAATTTCTGTGATAATGCTTCTTTATAAATCAAATTTCGGAAGTGTGACAATTTGTCCGTCCGTTTTTACAAGAATCATTAGTGAAACGAAGATTTGGGTAACTTGAGCAAAGGGTTTTGAGACGCGTCCAATATGCTCTTCGGTCGAAGCAACTTGAACTCAAATTTGAAAATACTAAGCAACCCAGCTTCGTTTTTGTTCTCTCTTTATTTGGTTGATCCAGTCCGAAATGTACAGTTATATGTGTTGAATATAAACCTAAAATATTGCTTTCTTGTTATATCTGCACAATTTTTTGTCAGTCGTGGGTTGAAATATAACTTCGGATTCGGTAGATGTGAGTTGAAATTTGTGACTATGTTCGCTAGTTCTCACAAATTGGTTGATACGTGCTGCAAGAAATCAAACTAAAACTCAGCAGACAACCCCCAAAATTCTTGTCAAATTTCAACTAACAGATATCTACGAAAATAAGACATCTACGGAAATCTTACTGAAAAATGATCAGACCACCTCAGGGCGGGAGAAAAATCTACAAACAATTTAATAACGCCAAAAAGTGAAGAAAATGCCCGGTCCCAAATTCCAGATGAACTAATATCCAATTGCATTTAGCTTTTGTTGTAGCTTGTAATTAGTGTACAAAAACGAAACAATCGTATTCTTCAAGCGACAACATCTAAATCGGCCTCAGCATCCATCTCTCCGTCAGCAATCGTATTATTCATTCCCACCTCTGCTTCGATTTGACCTGCTTCTAAACCATCACCATCAGCATCACCGTCAGAGCTCTGCTTTTGATGTTCGTCTGGAGTGGCAGACGTGTCACCTTGGGATACATCCACAGATAATGCTATCATACCATCACTTTCACCACCAGCTCCTGAGCCTTCATTCTCGTTTCTACTTCCATCCATGTCAATCTCGTTTGCCGGTGGTGTTACACTCTGTTGTCATAAAACAGAGTCCCCCGTTAAAAGGGAGAATTGTATTCAAAACTTTTCTTAAGTCATTATTAATATTTGATTTTTCGATTGGCAACTAACGATTATTTGTTCACAAAATTGGTGTGTGTATTTCATGTAAAGAATTACTCTTTGACAATCTTAGAACATGGGCAAGAAGTAATAAAGAGTAGTAAGTGAGTAAAACAGAAACGCGTGGGGCATGCTCGTAAAGTAAATCGAGAGTTCCTGAGATACTACCTAGATATATATTATATATCACTACATACATTTCAATCGACTAGCCCACATGCATTATTATATGATGCAGTCGCTGAAATTATACAGTACACAACTTGGCATGTGAAAACTTGTGCAGATATTTTTTTCGTATAAATTGTTCTTCTCCAAAAAACGAGGAAATCATTTGAGAGAGAATATTGAAGTTGAAAGTATTTGAAATACCTGAGATTCTTCCACTTGCTGCAGAGAACCTCTTGAGTCATCCTTCTTGGCACGCTTGGAACGATCAGCTTGTTTGGCTTGATATTTTTTGGAGCGCACCTCAGCCGGCAAAATCTCCAAAGGAACAACACCTTCGATGCCATGTTCAGTGAACTGCAACAAAAAAAATTATGTAGTAATTTTTAAAATGCTATTCTTGTACAGCTTGCGTACTCGTATCGTAGCCATAAAAATTTACATACTCTAGAAAATCCCTCTAAATCTTGACGAGCTGAAAACCTTAAACCTTTCCAGCAATATACCTGTACAAGCATTTGCAACAGTCATGACAAAAATTAAGGCTGCATATGGAGAGCCATCACAACAATATTTTTGTCAGCGGAAAACGAGCATTCACAAAGAAGACCATGCTAGTCAATATGAAAAAAAACAAACACTAAAACTCATAGAGAATCAAAGTGGAAGGTAAAGTAATACGTACTCGATTGTTTTTGTGATGATATTCCTCTTCTATTCCCGCCGATTCATCCATCTATTGTTACAAATGGAAAATTGTCTGCATCAGATAGCTACTCGCAGCTTATTATTTGCAATTACATTTTTTTACTGGCCATAGTTAAACACAGATTAGTTGAAATTAGAAAAACAAGGCAACGGAAGCTCACATCTTCAGCCAATGGTTTCCAGTAATCCATAATTGCAGGAGTACCGACACGCTCAGGATTCGTTAACGCATTCTGAAGAAACAAACCAACGAATAATAACAGTAAAAAGTGAGCATATAAATAGTCCCCAATGAAGTTCAAATATAAAAGGAATCACTAGACAGTGATCAAATTTCTTGAAATATAATTTACAGTTATCTACTGAGGAAACGCGTTTCACCATAGGTAACAGATAGCATTAGAGTGGCTATATTAAGATATTAGATAACCTTAAAGACCGGTGCCAGTTGTGTTTTTCTCATGTGATTGGTATAAGTGTTCTACGCATTTTCAAATTTTCAAGAAATTGCAAAAGCAAAGAGGGTCTGAAAACGAACCGGATTCTGATCCGCCCATTTCCATAGCTGAGACAGTTCTTTATTTCCCATTCTCCACCGAGGCCGACTACAAGTTCATGCAAAACAAAATCAACATTGGAAGAAAGAAAAAGATCTTCAGGAAACTGAAAATGTAAATGCATCTCCAAGACCATTCATATACATAAGATGCTGAAAAATCAGTTTAGCGGCTCAAATTTGATTGCTAACAGGCCCGTGATGCTTTTTTAATGCACAAACTCGGAAATATAATTATTTCTTCAATCAGATAACTCTTATAGGAAAACATATTCAACAATCTCAGCACCCCTGATCATATTCAGTACACATGGTAACAAAATCTCTTCTGTAGCTCGTATGAATGCAAAATTACTATTTCTCGTCAGTTTTTTCTAAATTTTTCTTAATAAAAATATATAATAAAAACTTTAATAATAATAATATTTCCATTCAAAATTTAAACTTGTTTAGGTATTTAAAAACTAAGTATACTATAAATAATAATAATAATAATAATTAGAACTACAAATACTTACTACAATAATACTTCAATTCAAAAACCAAACTTGCTTAGGTGTTCAAAAGCTCATGAGCCTTGGTGATGAACTTGAGCCCAAAGAATTTAGGCTGGAGCTCGAGCTCACAGAAATTTACTTGAGCTCGAGCGAGCTCGAGTAGAGCTCAGCTAAAACTCGACTCATCTATACCCATAACCTCACTCTAACCTTATAAGGCATTGATAAAATAGAAGTTCGAATAAATGTCTGTCATTTCTAAAATATGATAATGCATATACATGGTTTAGCTTATAACACGCTAATTTGTTTACCGTTTTCTGCCAGTTTCTTGTGCTAGTTTTTTTTCTATCGGTTGCTTTTCAAATGGAGGGCAACCATCGCGCTTCCACCAAACCTGAGAAAGGGGAAAAAAAAAAGCTCTGTACAATTACAAAAGAAGACGCAATATTCGTCTGATATAAATAAGATAGAATGTCTGTGCACAAGTTCAAATTGCATTCGCACAAAGATAGAAGCAAACTTTTAATGCGTACCCAATTCCTTTCACGCTCCAAAATATGCTCAATGCTACGTAGAAATTCTTTTCCTTTAGGAGGCATCATTTCTAGAAGCTTCTTGGCCCGTTCTTCACAAGTTTTTATCTCTTCCTTCTAGATAAACATATAGTAAAAAAGTTATTCCGAATTTCATGTCAATTAAGTAAGAGAAAAAAACGGGGGAGAATGAGAAAAAGCTCTAACGATAACAATACTCGAAATACAAAACTAACCAATGTATCCGATGGCATGTCCTTGTCATTTTTTCCAGGGGCCTACAGGGAGTAAGTTTCTCGTCAATTAGTTCAGAAATATAAGAGGCAAAAAAAAAACCTTTATGACTTAGCTGAAAACATGCGTATGGGAATTAACAAGCTAAATTAGCAATATTGCACTAAACATGCATATCATTCTTATTGCATTGCATCCAATAACAGCTTTCGCAATTTTAAGTAGTTCAAAAGGCCTGAGAGTAGCAATGCATAAGACCTAATAACAAAAGGGAGAAACAGAAATACCTTCAGATAATCAAACAAAATAAGGCACTGAACCAGAACATGTCGTCGAAAACTGGGATCCTTTAGCTGTGAGAAACGAAGATTGAAATCAAACAATTTGGTTTGAAATGAGGTTCTAAACTGAAAGAACTTACTAAAACTTGTAACGGTTCCTACCTCCAGACCCATTAGATTACTGCTAGTGAGATACTTTATACTGAAGTTTGATCCCTCGTCCTCAAGATTAATAGCACTGCCCTCTTCATCACTCAAAGGCTGAGCCTCAAATGTATTCAGCACAACCTAAATTTCCAATTTTAGAGACAACGATAATGAGTATTTCTGAATTCCATATGATACAAGATATCCACACAAAAAAATCCGGAACAGAAAATTTACCGTCAAACTGGAACTAAATTTTTGCCACTTTGTAAGAGCGGGAGTAAGAGAACCAGGATTCGAAAAGAATTCCTGAACATCAGATAAAACTCAAATGTGAGATATCAACCGAGACATCTCTGATGAATGAAGATACAAGGTAAACCGAAATCATCATCAAATACACCCAATTTCAATCGATCAATAACTAAGTGAAGGTCCTGACCTCCACAGAGAAAAAAGTTATTTAACCAATAATTGTTGGTGTTCTGCTTCTTGTTTTTCGTTTCTTCTTTACTTATAAGTATTCCACCCTCTTATCGTATTTTGTTTTACAGGTTTCCACAAGTGGATTCAAGATATAAAAGGCCATTATCAGTTCGAAAAAGAAAAGGATAAAACCATTGAGCTCGGAAACTGTTCACAGGAATTAGGATAACAACAAGCATTTGCGTAAATGTTAATTGATTAGCAAAAGGTTAAGCATTTTTTATCTGCTTTTGGAAAAGCATCTCTTCTTCATACCAAAGAATATCATAAAAACTAATATTTATTCCGAGGTTGGTTAGAGAACGAAAAATATACTGATAAAGCTACGACTTTTTGCAAGATGAGTTGAAGTATAAGAGGAATTGCTGACACAAACAAGGTTACTTCCCTTCTACTGACCTGTAAACTCCAAATGGTTTTGTAAAAGTTGAAATCAATAGAACTACCTGAAAGCAAACAAGTCAATTATACAGAGCTTGAAAATAGTACGAGAACAGAATGAGAGATTGATAATCAGATTTAGCAGAATCACCATCTGGGGCTTCTTTCTCGTATTTTGTCTCATTTGACGTATTGAAAACTCCTTTGATATTCACAGCTGTCGGAATGGTACATAACACATAGTAAATGCAGTTAACAATAGAAGAGAACCAACGGAATCAATCTTTATCAACAGACTGTAATTACCAGAACGTTCTGATAACGGGAAAAAATGAGCAAGAAACATTATAATCCGACCGCAGAACACAACATCATTTGCCTGCAATACCAAATCATATGCATACGATAAGATTATGGTGACAATATCATTGTTGTCGAAAGTCATTCTATTGAATGACAAATAAACGATGAGTTCAACTGTGCAAGTCGTATTTTATGTGTGCGTAGTGAATACAATATATATGGATTTGGATCTGATGTGACTTGCTTGGATATTTGTTAGTTCAAAATACTACAGAAATCGATGGGATTTCATGAGATAAGGAGCAGTCTGGAATTATTCAAAAAGCATTTGAACGAAAAAAAAAAATTAAGTACCAATTCAATTCCTTAACATGCCTAGATTCTTGATATGAAAACCAAATTCCAATTCCAATCCCACTTCATGTCAAATTCAAATCCAGCTCCAACTTTAATTGGTTTCAAATAAAGTGTAAATTACAGCAGAACAACTAGATGCTATACCAAGTCTCTCAACTGACAAAAGGCAATGTCAATAGGGGAAAAATATGAAGATAGAAGATAGTGTTCTTTAAGAAAATATGAGAAGGGAAAACAAATCCAAGAAAGAAAGTTCAAAGAAATAATTATCTAGATCGTTCAAAGTTATGAGGGAGAAGACGGGCAAATAAAGATAAACAAGAATCCAATTACAAAAATCAAAACAATAGAGAGGCTAAAGAAAATACACGATACTTGAGAAAAAAAAAGCATTCTAGTATCAAACCTTTGATAGACGACGAAGAAGTTGATTACATGTCCTCAGCATCACAAGCTTCCCTCTGGCAAAAAGCTCTGGCTATGTAAAACGTGAAGAAAAAAAAATAACAACTTAAATTTGTCTTCTAAGAACAGTAAAATATGTGTCCAACAAAAGATACAAACGCGTGTAAAAATGCAATATAGATAGATACATGAAACGAAACACAGAAGCATATAAAATAATGCCACCTACCTTGCCAAGAATGTCTTGTTTACTCTCTATATACCCGAAAACATCTTTACAGTTTCTCATTGTCGACATTTCGTTCAAATCTTCCAAAAGCTGAAAAATCATGCCACCTTCAATGTGTTCTTTCTCACATAGGTACAAAACAATGTCTGGAAAATAAAACATCAACATAAGAGAGATATTAGTCAATAAGTAGAGTGTAGTCATACAGCTAACATTAACATAATTGTTATCCAGTATTTGCATTATGAACATAAACTCTTTTGAGCTTTGGATGGCACGTTTTTACGAAACAGATGATCTTTATTTTTAGCTGTTTTGCTTCAACAGGAGGCAATTTCGTCTACTACCACCATTAGTCGTCTTGTATTTTAAATGAAGATAGTTTGACCCAATTGCAGCAAATTTTACTACATCGTCTTCGAAGGAATTGGTTATGTAAGATTGTAAGTTTATAACCATCCCATAATAGCTACTGTACCACCCCAGAAGAAAAATAAAGCGAAAATACAGGTGCATCGCTTAGATCTGCACTCACCAAGAAGACGGGGGATTTGACCACGACAAATATCTCCATCATCTATCGGTTGACCATATTGCATAATTTCCTCGCCCGACTGAACAGCAGCTGACTGAAACAAGATGATACATCGGTTTATACATTCACCTACTAAGGAAAGAAAAAAGAACTAATATACCGATGTCTCAACTACAAGCAATTTTCCTAGATAGTGAGTAACCGAAAAGAAAGCTCACCTGAGGAAACTAAAGCACGGGCCTCATGAGTCATGTCAGTTAAAATCATTCAGCACTAACAAGAGACTCCAACAAATTCACACATGCTTGCAATTAGCATTTCAAAGTCGAGCTCGAAGAAATTAACAACGAAATATGTCGAAAACTCGAGGTTTTCAAATTTTGTAACTATGTAATGTGATTCACAAAATTTTCCAAATGGTAAACAACAATACCAGTTGAGAATGTGTAGAAAACTCGAAGTATATAATAAAGAAATCGAGATAGCAGCATTACCACGAGCTCCTGAAGCAAAGTCCGCAGAATATTTTCCAACAACTGATTTTCATCTTGAACAAGTTTCACTTGCTTCTGCAAAGACGACAATGTTGAATACCCTAATTAATAAACCCTAATTGAACCAAAACCAAGAAGAAAAAAACACACAACAGCTTAAAACATACACCAAATAGAAATGTATATAACTTCCCAACACCAAACCCAACTTTTCAAATTAATTTCACACAGATATATATATATATATATATATATATATATATATATATATATATATATATATATATATATGAAACAAAACCTGAGGTTTGATAGCTTGTTGGACAGTCTGAAGAGCGAAATCCTGAGGGGGGCCTGGATGCAAAATTGCTTTCCTGAATAAATCCTGGGAGGAATCAACCGTTCAACAAATTAAATTGAGAATTTTGCACCAGAAATTTCAACGAAAAAAAAAAAAAAACAGCCCCAGAAATTTAATTTAATCCAAAAAATTACTCAGATGAATACAACTACTATATTATACAGAAGTTCGAGAAGAATTTGGCAGAAAGTAATATAGATGAAAAAGGGAAGGAAAAATCGATCCGAACCATTCACAAGAACACTCTTTTTCTCTGCACAAAATTTCTTGTGCTTGCGAACAATGGAGCAAGGCGTATTATACTCTTTTTTCTTTAAGCTTGAATTTTAGTTAATGGGAAAAATACAAGTTTGTCTTTCAAGTTTGCATCGATTTTACATTGAGTCCCATATGGTCATAAAAAGTACATTTGATCCCTCGTGTTTTAGAAATTCAATATTTTTAGTCATTTTTATCGATATTTCGTCAGTACTACCTCGATAAATTAAGAACCTCCCTTAAATAATATCTTTTATCCGGTCACGACTCGGGGACAACGTGCTAAATTAATAATTCGTTACAGATAATATTCATTCAAAAATTTTAAGAAGTCACATAAAATATATAAATTTATAATGCATAAAAGTAATTATTAAATTATATAGTACACTACATATTTTATTGATCTATGAAGGCTGAATAAAATATGATTCAATTGTTGCTTGTTTCTTGTTGAAGTTCATATCACCATCAATTTCGTCCCTTATTTTTCTTAACATCGTTAGAACTTCTGATATAGTTTTCTCATAACTCAATAGAAAATTGTTCAATACAATTGCTCCTTTAAGAGTGTTCGTACAAGAAACGGGCTCTATAGCATTAAAGCAATGGTAGAATAAATAATATATACGTAATTAAAAAAAAAAAGTATTTGATGAAAATAATAAATAAAAAATTCATAAATAACTTATTAATTAATGTATAAATTAATAATTATTAATTTATTGATAAGTTAATATTTCGCTAAATTAATAGGATTTTGATGGTCACAACTGTATTAATTTATGGGTAAATGGCAAATAGGCACATGGCAAGAACACTTAATTAAAAACTGGACATCCAATTGTTTTGTCTTCCGAATAAATCCACATCATTCAAACTTTTTACAAATAAGGAAAACCCTTTTATATATTCCAAAATGACCCCCAACTCCTTTAAATTCTAATTCAACTCAAATTTAATGATTTACACCTCAATTTAGCACAACTAGTACTTCACCCGTGCGTTGCACGGGGTATTCATCATTAAAATAAATATTTGATTTTAAAAAGTTTTCGAAATATTAAAATCAATGGTTGATGTGCAATTCAAAGTAATAAAATCTATTCCATGTAAGTAACGAATTAAGACAACATAGGTGAAAAAAACTAAATATCGAAGGTTTAATTTCCGTATACAAAAGGTGAATACATCGTTACCCTTACCGTTACCATTTCCATTACTATTACCATTGCCATTACTAATACCAACAACAATACCAATACCAAGACCAAGACCAAGACCATTAGCATTACCATTACCGATACCCAATACTAATAGAAATACCGATACCAATACCAATACTAATACAAATCATTACCATTACCGTTACCATTATCATTGCTAATATTGAAAGTAATATACTAATACTAATACTAATCTAATAATAATACTATTACTATTACTAATCCTAATGCTAATTCTAATCATAATGCTACGCTAATACTAATTTCCTTACACTAATGCTAATGCTAACCATAATCCTAATCCTAATACTAATATTGATCTTAATCCTAATACCAATTCTAATTATAATCATAATCCTAATAATAATACGAATCATAATTCTAATTCTTATAGAAATGCAAATATGCTAATGATAATACTAATTTTAATACTATTGCTTATGCTAATGTTAATCCTAATTATAATGTTAGTACTAATAATAATCATAATTCTAATTGCAATACTAATATTCAAATTAATATGCTAATGATAACGCTAATGCTAATCATAATACTAAACCAATACTTATACGCCAATGCTAATGCTAATGTTAATCCTAATATACTAATGCTAATGCTAATCGTAATTCTAATTCTACTACTATTGCTAGTACTAATGTTAATCCTAAATATAATCCTAATGTTGATGCTACTAATCCTAGTCCTAATGCTAATGGTAATACTAATCATAATCCTAATCCTAATCCTACACATAATCATAATGTTTAATCATAATGCTAATGCAAATTCTAATTGTAATCCTAATGTTAATGCTAATTCTAATTCTAATATTAATCATAATCCTAATCCTAATCCTAATCCTAATCCTAATCATAATCATAATCATAATCATAATCATAATCATAATCATAATCATAATCATAATCATAATCATAATCATAATCATAATCA